CCTAGCGCTGCATACAGGAGCTTTATAATCTGCCTCCAAGCTGCCTCCCTAGCTTCATCTCCCAGCATCTCCCCAGCAACGACCATGGTCCTGCCTTCTCACCCTCCTAACTGTCCCCTGCCACATTAGTTCCTTTCACTCATTTGTGCACAAGCATCCACTCTCCGGCTGGCAAGCTTCTGTGCATCCCTGAGATCACTCAGATGCCACCTCCTTGGTGAAGCCCAATCCTTCCTCCTCTGGTCCCCACCACCCTGTGTTCAGGCCTCTGGTGCAGCCTTCACTGTGTGCTTCTGTGATTGACTTGCTCACACATCTTTACTTCCCACTGAGAAGGTAAGACCTCCATCCGGAGGCGGAGGTCTGGTCTTGCCTGCAAGAAGCTGGGTTTGAAAGGGGAGAGTTAAATGTAGGCAAACACATGCAACAAGGTTTTATGTGTTCCAAGAAAGAATAAAGAATGTACTAGTGATAGAGAAGACCCAAATGGAGGGGAACACACATCTGTTCAGGGCAGGGACTGAAGGGGGTCTCCATGCAGAGCCCCTGAGCACAGTCTGGAAAGATGGGCATGTAGTTTTCATGAGGATCAAGTCAGAGACTTTCTAAGCTGCGGAAGCAGCAGAAGCAAAAGCGCGGTGGGACAGCCCAGGCCCATCAGACAGCCGGAAACAGTCCAGCCCTACCTGGACCATTGCAACAGCCTCCTGATGGGGTTTCTTGTCACCAGTCTCCCAGAATGCTAGAGTCTATCCAGCACACAGCCCCTGTCATCTGATTCTGTTATCTACCTGCTTATAAAAATTCCTGTTGGCTCCACTCTGTTCACTGAATATAATCCAAATTCCCTAGCGCTGCATACAGGAGCTTTATAATCTGCCTCCAAGCTGCCTCCCTAGCTTCATCTCCCAGCATCTCCCCAGCAACGACCATGGTCCTGCCTTCTCACCCTCCTAACTGTCCCCTGCCACATTAGTTCCTTTCACTCATTTGTGCACAAGCATCCACTCTCCGGCTGGCAAGCTTCTGTGCATCCCTGAGATCACTCAGATGCCACCTCCTTGGTGAAGCCCAATCCTTCCTCCTCTGGTCCCCACCACCCTGTGTTCAGGCCTCTGGTGCAGCCTTCACTGTGTGCTTCTGTGATTGACTTGCTCACACATCTTTACTTCCCACTGAGAAGGTAAGACCTCCATCCCCTCTAGGCGTTCAGTACATATTTGCTGATGGAAACACAACCCAGAGTCCAGGAAAGTTACAATGTTCTAGGACTCCCCTACATACTAAGGGCAAATTATTAAACTTTTCTGTGCTTCAGGTACTTCAACTATAAATTGAAGATAATAGTAATAACCACCCAGTAGGGTTTCCAGACGGGTAAATGATATTACATACAAAATATGTACAATGTACATACAATGTACAATATGCACAATGTCAGATACATAATAACCGTTTAATAAATGGTATCTATTATGTGTAATTTTATTCTTATTGGAATAAATATCGTGTACAGATGACTGCAATGTACTTATATGCTAAACAGGCACAAACTTAAGGATTAAGCACTGAATGAGAGAGACTCAACTTCTAGACCTGGATATGCTTCTAACTAGAGGTATGACTTTGGCCAAGCCTGTTTGTTTCAATGGGCATCCGCAACCTCATTGATAAATTGAAGGGACCAGTTTATATTGCCTCCAAGTCTGATTTGCTGTGATGCTATGGTTCACATTGTCTTAGACAAGCTTCATGCGTCTAGAATATTCAAATAAAGCATGACAAAACATGACACGAAGGGGAAAAAAATTCCATTTCTACAGAGGCATAAGAGCAACCACAACAGAAGTTCCAGGAAAGGGAACAGGCAAGGAACTTTCCCCAGCCCAACTGCTTTTGGTTTGGCTGTTTGCTCAGCCCACAGCTGTGGGTCACTGCTCTGGCTGATTCCACCCTGTCCACTGCCATTGTCCTTGGTGCCCAGGAGGTTCCGGCAGGCCTTAGGAGGCTGGCAGGTGCTGATTGACAGCAAGACGCCTGCATCGAAAGACACAGATTTGTCCAGGTTGGGACCTTAGAGTGATCACCTGACTAGCTGGCTGGCCAACAAGGATTGGAGGGTGGTGGAGAAATCCCCCAAAACAAGCTCTGGGAGCCCGTTCAAAATGCAGGCGCTCTCTCATCTTTTAAATAAGGCTTTGCTGAGGAATTCACGTTGGAGTCAGGAATGGGGATAAGGCCAGAGGGGGTGTGGGGATGAACGGAATTAACAAGGAAAGGAAAACAGATGTTAGACTAGCATTCTAAAACCTGTAAAATGCATGTCTGTGTTTAAGTGTATGGATGGATGTATATTTATGGAGTTATAAGTTGGTCTTCTTGATTCTAATGAGCTCAGTTCAGCAGGCATATGTTCTTATCATGAGTGACTTCCGCCAGCAGAACTGTGCAAACTCCCCAGAGCCTCTGCAAGGGTTTGGCAAGGAGACTGATGGGGAGGGAGAAGGGCAGTTTACTTCTGAGGGATTGCAAATGTACACAGCATGCCCTCACCACATTCGTGCACGTGGTACTCTGAAATCTAACTTCCTTCCAGGGTTATAGGGAAAATGGGACTCTCCACTTCCTCTTCTCTCTTCATATGAACTCCAGAGGCAGACATGAATGCTGTCTTCTACGGGTTCCCTGCTGGTTTGCTTCTTTACCTTCACAAACTCTCCACACATGGACTCTGTTGTCCCTCTTCTGTCAACACAAACATCTTCCAGTGCTGGCTCGATGCTCTCTAACAGCTCCTGTTCATTACCCCAGTCCCATAACAAAATGTCCCTCCTCCTTCCCCTCACCATTTAAGTCTCTATATTCAGCACTGGATGGCCTCAAGAGACTGGGCCCAGCAATGCTGGACCCGAAGTGACAAGATCCTCCTGTCCCCTCCTCTGGTGTTACTCCACGGTATCCTGGGCCAAGAATAGGCCCTCTCTGCAGACGTCCCATTGCTGCAGGTGCTGCTTGCTCAGACTGGGTAACCTGAGCATTGCCAGGATTCAACCCAAAGAGGCAGAAACAAATAGGAAGTTTTGTTCTATTTGGGGGAGAATAAAACATAAAACCATAACTCTCTAGCATGCAAATTCCAAATCCAAGATTTGCTCTTTTTAGTCAAAGGTCTAAAATGCTGTATCAGATGGAAGTCCTTCTGGGCTTACTTCAGAGGATACAATGATACCAGCTTTTGCCAACACCAAGATTTGTTTCTAAAAGCAGCAAGCCTCCATTAGGATAAGAGCAACACCGGAAATCCTCAGTGTGCTGCGTAATAGAAGCCAGCTCGGCCTGACCAGTAACAGATTAAACCAGGCCAAGCCAATTAGGGAGAAAACTCTGAGCTGATTTTCAACCAAATCTTTACAACGCCTGCTGTAAAATGCTCCAGTAATGCTGAGCTCAAAGGCTGGAAACTCCTCCATGCAAACCCCATTCGTTTTCTCCTCTCACCCTTCAGCAGCCAAGGATCTTCTAGAATAACCATCAGCCCTACACTGCCTGATGCTGGAGACATTTCCTATATCAGTGATTTTCTGAGTTTAGGTTAAAATAACAAGGAGGAGTGGGTTAAACTAACCAGAACAACATTCAGCAAGGAGGTTTCAGGACAATCTGTTTAGAGAACACAAACAGTAGAGTAGATAAAATAGAATGGACTTGCCGGGATTGGTGGAGAAGATTTTGATGGAATACAATTCTGATTTTTCACTCATTTATTTAAAATTTTTCAGTGAACATATCCAGACCCATTTCCTCCCAACCCATATTCTGTGCTAAGGGCAAATATTTAGCAAGTATGTTGGAGATCAACTCCGCCTGCCTTCCAACCATTCCAGAATCATTTGTACTTCCCCAAACTCACCATGAATTCTACATTTCTGAGCCTTGGTACACGCCACTATTGTCTGTAATTTTCCTTCTTTCCTTGTCTGCTGAGTGGGATGCTATTCATCTCTCAGGCTCAACTCAAACTTCACCTTCTGTATGATGACTCCTCTCCACCTCCATTTCCCACCAGCACACCCAGGTGGAACTGGGTGCCCTGGGCATCTCTCATCCTTACTCCCATAATGCCTTGCACGTACCTCTCTGTTTATTTGACCTGCTCCCTAGATGGAAAGCTCCTTGAGACCAGGTGTCTTGTTTGATTCTTTTCCAAGTCCTCACTCACCATCTTTTGTGGTGCCTCTTACATAGCAGATGCTCAAAGAGTATCTGTTTCATAAATCTGACCTTATTTTCACCAGTTGTGAAATACACACACACACATGGCCAAAAATGAAAGTGTGTGAACTGAAAGCATTGC